ACTGTTTCCAATGCAAATACCTAATAGTGTCTTGGGGCTCAAAACAAAGGGCTAGGAGCTGAATTATACCTTCTGATCCAGACGGATATGACAGGATGGGGAAGGAAGTGACTGCCACAGTGAGGCTAAACTCAAACCTTTTGGAACCTCCCAAATACCAGATTATCCCAGAAATTAGTCCCTGTGGTCTGAACTACCCTCTCACCTCTAAACTAGGGGCATGAAGTGACGGTATTTTTAAAGCAAGTCATTGTACAAACAACAGAATCAAACCCCATTTGTTAAAGAAAAATTTCAGCAGTGAGAATAAATGCAATCGGAAAACTGTAAGTAGTTATCACTATTTCCAGGAAAAGGAAGTATTTTATAAAATACATCAAATTACTTTGAGAAAGCCTTAAAAAAAAAAAAGTCCTTCATCTGGATGTGACCAAGCTCACAGGCTCTGGGCATGAATTCTCACCCCTCTGCTTTACCAGCTGTGTAACTACAAGGCTTTTTAAAACACATTATGCCTCAGGTTTCCTCAACCTAGAAGTGGATACAAACTATATACTGCTTTGGGTGATAAATTTGCCCATGATACATCAGAAGAACTAAATAAAAATTATTATTATTTCAACTATTAAAGTGTATCATGCTTAATACTACGTAGGAAATAGGATGCCTGTCACATAGCAGACTGTCAATACATATTTTTGAATAAGTATGTGAATATGTGAATAAATCTCATAGGGTTAGACTCTCACACGAAATACAATATATGAATATTGATGATGGATATTCTCAAGAGAAGTGATTACTAATGTTTATTTAAAAATTTTCCGAAATGTTATTTCAATCTAAAAAATTATGAAACAATAATGCAAAGTGCAGTTTAAAAAACATATATTTATAGCATAACTGGTAGGGATTTTTAAATTGTTGCTCTGGTGTTATGCATCATATAGACTGCAGATCAACTGAGCACAGGGTTTATTAAATGTCTACGGCAAGGACATCGTAGAATCAGCATGGTTAAATGGTATGCTTCAGGAGGGCAGGAGGTTTACCTGTTTTGCCAATACCTAATAAAAAGTCTGACATATATTATATCCTTAGATGCTGTCGGGAAAAGGAAAAGGAAAAATTATTTTACTCAGTGTGACTTCTAAATGGAATGTTCAAACCTAAATATATTTTATATCTATTTTGCTGCTTGAAAATAAAAACAATTCTCGTTTACTCCACGTGGGGCTTGGGACTGGAGCTACTTTTCTCCAGGTGAGAAAGGAAATAGAAAGTGACCCAGTGCCTTAACAAACGTGTGCGTGTGTGTGGTAGGGGGAGGGGTGGTGAAAAATACATAGGTGTACATAGCAGATTAAAATTTCTCAGGAATATCTGACCTAAACATTTTTAGAAGAAAGACATCAGGCTGGGAGAAGTAATAACTGACCTTTTACATATGATACTTTCAACAAAATGAACCTAGTCTTGTACTGCATATATATATATATATATATATATATATATATATATATATATATTTATCCACTTCTTAAGCTCAGTCTTTAAAATTCACGCAAAACTAAAATGAAAATGAAATGCTTTATGGTAAATCAAAATGTTTACTTTATTTAACTCCCCATTTGCCTCCCGAATCCATACTCTCAATGTCTTCATGACCACAGGCTTTCTTGTCTCCAAGCCAGGATTATTCTCTCCTCCTTACTTGCAGTTCAAAATACAACGCCCACCTTATCCAACCACATCCACTGAAAAAAGTGAGAGTAACAAGAGAGTGACCAACTTCAGATCCATAAGGAGCTGTTTGTGTCTTAGCAGGTTTTTACAAAAATAAACACGTGGTATGAAAACGTAATAGATAGATGTCAATCTATTGGGGCAGATTTAGGACTTAGGAAAGCAGTAACAGAAATAAGGGCATAGTTATAAGTCAAGCCACATGTACCCTAATGGAGTTCCTGCATCTGGAGAAAACCTTGCAAATATTATCAGACAGAATGTCTGATAATTATGGCAAGTATTCATTTTAAAATCAACACACTCTAAAATTTTTCATTGGGAAAGGACTTTTGGGTCGGTCACTGACCAGCATTTTGACTTTACTCTCCAAGGCCACTGGCTCCTTCATCTGTCCAATGAGGAGTCTGGGTAGGATACAGCTCAGTTCTAAGATTCCAAGGTCATCTGCCCTGAAAACGTGGGCAGTCCTTCTAAAAGCACCGGAGGCTGGGCTTGTCACAAACCCAGGCACATTCAAGCTGGATTCCCACTGGAATTCTCTCCCAGCCTCTACTCTGTAAAGGGAGCTGACCTGAGATCTGCAGGGTGGACATTCTGCTCAGCGTAACAGTAAGGGCCCCTATAGCCCTATGTGCTGCTGAGGTGTTTTATCATATTTTTAAAAACTCTTATGTGTAGCAAAATGTGGGTGCTAGATTGTATGTTCAAAATTCGCAAGTGAATAAATCAAAACTCCACAGGCGAGTAAAACAAGTCTTAAGAGTTAGCATTTCTTGATGGTACGTTCCGTTTTGTATAAGACTGAGGCAATATTTTTTTCCTAGGCATTTTTTCATAATGCCATCTTCCTCACTATCTCTCAGTCACAGGGGAAAGAAAGAGTAGTTCTGCCAAGCTCAGCATATATTTTGGGCTGAGGTCTTACAGAGCCTGGATTTCTCTTCTTTAACTAATAACATGACAGAAAAGAAAATAAGCGAATGGAAAATAGTTCATTATTAAAACACTCTGCATTGAGTATCAAGATTCATGAACCCATTCTAGAGAAAGAAAGAAAGATGACACAGCAGAGTATAAAATAGCTTACTCATTTAATAGAACAGGTTGCAGTTTTTTTTCATAATATTAAACATTAAATTAATTTCAAATATTTGTTGCCGCTGGTAAACTCCTTGTAGTTTTTTCAAAAGATATTTGTTAAAGAAAGGACAACTGTAATTATAACTGATGTTGAAGTCCCAGCCTAGTTCCACCGCTCAACAATTACCACAGGGTCTCCAGCTACACACAGACGCACGTTCCTCCAAAGCCCTCTCTACAGAAATTCACCAATGTAGGACTCTAAAACCAAGCCCCGAATTTCATTTTGTCATTCTGTTTAATGTTATAATTGTCTGTATTCAATTCATTTCCCATGATAACATTAAGTAAACTCACAATTATATTTAGAAGCTATAGTGAGGTGGAGTTTACTGGCTGATTTAACAATTAATTCTCATTGCTTCTATCAGTAAATACTCGTACTAGCATCCTCTTCTCCAGCTCACAGTAAATGCCCTAAATCTTTGCCTGAATTTACTTCCAACATCAATGGGACATTTAGCAACATGTACATACATGGCATTCCTATACTGGGTGTTTATGTGTATTTTGACTCTGAGTTTAAAAAAAAAAGTTTATTTCTAGGACGTTTCAAATTTTCAAATGCTAGCAACCAACTGACATATTATCTGAAGTTGTCTGCAAAACCCAAAGTCCCAGATGTAAGAGTCACCTGCTTCATTATACCATCCTATTGATTTAACTGTGTTTAATTAATTTAAATTACTTTTATTCGATGGTTATAAATTCACATCCTCTCTACTCCAAGGGTGAGAGAGGGAAGATAGAAGGAAATAAGCTAAAATGACAAAAAGAGTTTGTCCTGAATTCCAAGAAACTGACACTTGCAATATAGGAAATACTTTACATACGGCTACAGGCTACCTTAAGAGAATATAGAGAGCCATAATTGACTATAGCCCTAATTCATTTGGTCTATTCCTACAACTGCTAACAAATATCAAAGTAAAGCTGATGGTCTGTAACCTGAGATGCATGGAGTTTCCATAAAACAGCAGCACAAAAGCCCACAAAGCTTCCTTCCAAAGGTACTAGTACCCTCTGGAGCCATCACACTGGAAATACATTTTGAGAATATCTCAGTTGCAGAAACCTTTATAGCAGAATCATATGGTTCACATTCAAGTGACTGATAGACTAACGTTCAGAATTACATTTTGAACTTGAAAATAAAAGAACAACTTCAAAATGGGGTAAAAATCTAGTTAGATCGTACTCGAATTATACTGTATCATAGGATGACCGCACATTGGGTTTGACACTGAGGGATGGCATTCTAACACAATTATGTAGTGACTACACAAGCAGCCCATTAAGAGCAGGTTCACAGCACCCTTTTTTATGTGAAATCAGCTGAGCATTATCAAAAATCATGTTTGGTTTTAAATTTAGAGACACGGGCAGTCTCTATCTAGAGTTTTAGTTATGCTTCACCAAAATTCATTCTAAAATATCAAGTACAATAATAATAAATCTTTGTCTTGTTTGAAGAGTCTCTGATGATATGACAGGAATCTCAGAGGGGGAAAAAAAAAGATTCCACCAAAAAGCAAAACAAAAAAAGTAAACCAAACCAATGCCACAAAACTGGTGACAAAATCCCCCAAAATAACTAACTACTCAATCTTTAGTTACAGGGAAGAAACTTATTTTTATAAATGCTTAATCTAAATGCTATCTCCCCCTTTTTGTAATGAACATAATATCCCAAACTGTTCCCTTATTTTATTCAAGTAACACAGCGAAGGCTTTATATGAACACTCTCACTGACCTTCCCACTCACCAAAGGTTCCTGGAAGTTATACCACCTTTACTCTTTCTTAAATAAGGGCACTCAGGAGAATGTAGCTTCCATGCTCAGAGCACTCAGAAGAGGGATCGAAAAACAAGCTAGCACAGTCTTCTGCTGAGCTGTTTCTCCTTCACTCTTTTCCCCAAGGGAGAAAAAGTGTAAAGACTCTGTTCAGAATAAATCAGGCACACTGTTTAAAGTCACCAGTGGTCAAGACACTGCAATTTTGACAGTTTCGCTTCAGATACCAGTTGCTTTAGACTATGGAGCCCCATCAAACCTCAAATCAGGGCCGCCCAGGATGGCTTATTATTCATTACATGCTATGCTAAGTACCTGTGAGAGGGGGCACTCCTTGGCCAACGAACTCTGATTCATATCTTTCAGTAAGTCCTTCAGAGCATTCCTTACTGTGGTGTGCGACCATTGTTCGGGAGGCAAGTCTTCTAGTTTGGGGCAACTATTTGAGACATAGATTAGAAAGGGGATTATTACAAGATTGCATCCCGCTGCAGAACATTCCTTTAAGACAGACAGATTTCATTTTGCGCATCAAACAGATGCATCTGGAGATTGCTCTCGGTCTCCTGATTGTTCCGATTAGTTAATTACTTTATACAACACATCTGCTGTATCGATGCATGAATTATACATCAGCTGCCTGTGGTGGCTATTTTTTCATGTTACTTCTACCTTCCTGCTCTGATGCGCTTGGGAAGACAATTTAAGGTGTACTGCTTTCTCACGAGCCATCGTGAAAAGCATTAATGTATTAACCGTTTTCCGTTCGTGACTCTGTTCATACGAATTAAAATGGTAAAAAAAAATATATAAATAAATAAGATTGCGGCAATAGTGAATAAGGCATTCTTTCACAAAATGTACACAGATGGCACTGTTCATGATATGCAAAAATATTTTTCTCTTAAGTAAACTTTATGTAAAATGCCTTCTTGTAATGCATCATTTAATTGACTGAATATAAAAAGTCTTGTCTTTTGATATCCTGCACAAAACCTACAAATTTGGCGGGGGTGGGGTGGTAAGGGAGCGGGGTGCGGGGAGAGGCTGCTTTTAAATATACGTTGAAGTTAGTAAAATTAAGCAGAAGGGATAAAGTAATGAAATCAGTTTGCATTAACCTTTCTGAAACACAAAGTAAATAAAAATCAAAGGCTGACCAGAGATGCTTTATTTCAAAAGATCAGGCACATTGAATGTTCTGTCCTAGAACCGCCGTCCCGACTCACCTGTGTAACTGAATTTTCAATGTGACCACATGATACACGTCTTGAAGCATATCTGCTACCGTAGCATCAGGGGCATCTGTCACATAAGACAGTGGAACTGGATTCCACTTTCCAACCTGGATTAGCCCTATTCCAGATAAAGAGAGTATGTCACTAAATATTTTACCTTTCAGATAATATTTCAAGGAGAAGGTGGTGGTGGTGGTGTTTTTTATGGCCCCCACCACAAGCAATATTGTTATTTCTGTCTGAATGATTCCCTTCCCTCTAAAAGGCAGGTCAATGAAAATATTCACAGCTTAGCTTTCCAAATTGTGAAATTATGTAAATGACTGTAGGGTTGTTTATTATTTTGGAAATAAAAGCGCATCAATAAAACCCATGCATAGGCCACATTTTCCTAACTTACAGGAAGTTCTAATAAGACATAGCTGAACCAGTTCTAAATGGCTTTACGATTTAGATAAGATTCTCTATTGCAATGGGAATCAGCATTGAAAAATACTTTACAGCCCATAAAACCATCAGAAACAGAATAAAAGAAACAGAACTAGATATTCAGTCATAAATGCAAATTGACTCTCAACAGTCCATCTGCTCAAATACGCTCCTCACTTCCTTGTGGGTCCTCAGTGGAGCAGATTATTAAGGTCAATAAGCATACTAATGATTCAGCCGAAGTAATTTAAAAAAAAAAATCCACCTCGACATTCCACACGAGCAAAATGCGTGTTAACTAAACCAAACTGAATTAAGCCAATTTTTTAAACTCACAGTCTATAAGGAACCAATGTAACACACAGGCTACAGTTCTTTGAATAAAAATATTCAGGGCTTTCTCTGCAAAGTAAACAAAGGATGCCAAGCAATTTTTCCAACCCCACGTATGCATTATTTACCTTTGGCCTGGGCAGCAGAGCTATGCGAATAGCCCAGAGACAGCAATGCCATTTCGATCAGCTGGTTGAAAAGCATATCCTTTCTCACCAACACAAATTCCGCATGCTCCTCCTTGCAATCGTATTCAATGGCGTTTTCATAATGTTCCACCACGCAGAAAACTGGTAGCATGGTTCCTATCCAAGAGACGGAGAAAAAGAGACGCAAACCAACAATCTTCAGAAATGCAATCTGGGGGGGAGGAAAAACTCAACCATGAAAATAAATCTTCCCAACAGGGAGAGAAGGGGAGACTGTGTTTCCAAGGCAGACAGGGTACAGAAATACAAGCGCGCACACACAAACATATACACACTCTTTTATTGTTTAAAGTTGTAAGAGGGATAGTTAAATAGAATGTGAACTTGGTCCTAAGACAACCTGGGCTCTGCTTGAATATCAGCAGTGCATTTTCCAAAATCAATCAATGCAGAATTACCTTTTTGATCAAAATAATAATGCTGATGAGAGAGAAGTGTCTTGTCTGATCTGCTGTGAGTGGTATACAAAGTGCAAATATAACTCACTACAGTTGTCTTCAGAAGAACCCACCTTCACGCTTCCTACATGCTTTTGTTAACATTAAACTTCTCCTATTTGTGTCCAAATTCTCTCTGACTCTAACATTTTCAGCATTTTCTTCCTTTGTGAAGATCTTTCCTTAACAGTTCCATAAAAGAAACACCAAACTTAACCAAACTGATGTCCAAAATATATGATTTCAATATGTGCCCAATGTAAATAAATAAGATTTATTTATTGGCCACTCATTTAATCCACCTGACTAAAAAGATATCACAGCAACCACAGGTCTTGAAAATGAACAATCTTTGTTGCATGTTATGGAAGAGAGAAAAGGAAAGTGGCCTCTGAATGACATATTAGGATAAAGGAATCTGAATAGATCTGATGTGTTCTCTCTTTATTTACTTTAATCCAGTGTAATAACTCAGTAGCCAGATGATTAATAAGCACAGGCCACACCACCGTCAGAAAAGAGGCTTCTAGAAACTGAAATCACGGAATGCTGTAGTACTCAAGGTGTTTATGCAGCACACTGCCAGACTTCCAGTGATATACGGAAAAGGGTTAAAAGCAGATGCATCTGAACTGTACTGTGGCAAACTGCCAGGAGGGTATCATCTTTAGCATAAATGATGACAAGGGTTACTTTAACAGGGCACCCAGGATCCCCAATTAGTCCTATAACATTAATGCCTCTATAAGGCTCTGCCTTCTGGACTCACAGAATCCTACCAACTTCTAGAGATTTCTAGTGCATACCAACCCGAGCTCAAAATCAGGATTTCCTCCTGACACCAGGGATGCCCTTTAAAAAGGCTCTATTTTCTTGTTTATGCTGAACAAAAGCTGGCAGTAAAGCAGCTACATTTTTTTACATGTGCATCTTCACCAAAGCCTTAGTGAACTGATCACTAGAGATTCTAGCTCTGACAAATAAACCCCTTTAGGTTTACTTAGAAAAGCTCACAAATTCATTCGTAGATACCCAACAGGCTAGGCATGAAAAACAAGCCACAGAGCTTGCCAATATTCTTGTCATTCATTCATCTGTTTTATACCAGAGAGAGATCCTGTCAGGGATCAGAAGAAGACTTGGGAAGACCACAGCAAAAATAACAACGAGCAAACTGGTGATTTCTTCCTTGGTGTGAAGGTACTTTGGCAAAATTTCCTAAACAAATAAACAAAAACACCCAACCTCTTTTTCTTAAGTAGGGCTTTCTCATCTCAGCCACAATTTTTATCTAGCACCTGTCAAACAGAAACCATGCTCATGAAAAATAAGATTAAACACACACACACACACACAGACACACAGACACACACACACACACACAAAATCACCACTACCAAAAAGCTTTAGTAATTTTGTTGTTTGAAGCAAGCTGAGAACCGTCTACAATTAAACTATATTTTTAAAGTAAGTCACTATGAAAGCAATGTTTAAAAAAAAAAAATTCAGCAGGAAGTGAAATTACTGTACTTTGGTTTCTCCTCCCCCTGTTCTGATGGCTTCAAAGAGTTGGGTTAGTACAACAAAAACGTATGCATTGATTTTTCCTCTTGCAGAATGATACATACGTGTTCTACTATATGCTCCCTAGATCTATGAAAATAACTATAGGATTTGCAAACTATTGAAACATACTGGATTTACTGTGGACTCTATTTAGAGATACCCTATAGATAATTAAGGTGGCTATTGATAAAGTGACAAGAGAATCATTTCACGACAAATCTAGCTGCTAAGCCTTCTAGCAAACTTGTCACCCTTGCCTTCCTGATCCTGCGAGTAATGCTGAACAGGAGCCTTCTCTGAACTGATTATTTGTGCCAGTGTTTGGCGAGACTTCCAACTACAGCAACTTCATAACCTTCCAGCATGAAAAGGGGAGTGCACTGGTCACTGCTGAATGCTAAAAATACCACATGATTTAAACCTGGAGGCAGTCTTAGAAGCTTTTGCTAAAGGTTTATGAGCCTGTGTAAACAGCACGTCTGCCATAAGGAGCAGTGAAGTCTGTAGAATCCTTGTCTAAAACTGTCCTGGCATTAAAGTTTGCTGTGCAAATATCACATAATACCAGAGACAGCTGAAATCTCCTATTTAGGAATTTATGGAACTTATATGTTTGCAGGCGTCAGAAAGTCTTTTTTATAGAGCCCCAGTGCTTCACAGTACAATATTAATGCACTCAGTTTGAAAAGCTGTAATAAATTATATTTTTAATGCTCTTACCCTGGCTTTCTTAAGATGCATACATTCTTGGCAAACAATCAATAAATAGGGTAATCATGAGTAGAGGCCAAAGAATTTGCTGAAGTGCTGTTTTTCCATTTTTAATAGATAAAGATCTAACAATACGGACTGCTGTGTCTGTTCATTTCAGGATCAATATATTCTTTGTTTTCGCCAAACCAAGAAAAAAATAAATGATTGTATGATAAATGTTATGCATCAAACACAATGAAATTCCTCTGCCTTCTAACTTTATCTACTTAATATTCTTGGTTGCTAAAAGACAGCATTTTTATCCTTCACTTAGTGAATGTAAGGAAAAATCTGAATCCCAAACACAGTTATTCAGAGACAAAATAAAGACCATTATGAGACACACACGTTATACCCAGCATAGGCACTGATCTACATAAATAGCAAGGCTGAACACAGTCAAAGTTGTTAAACTTCATCAATTTAATATCAAATGGGTAGAAAGGAGTCACACAGTTACTATCTTTCCTTTATAAACTTGCCTAAGTCTGCCCTTCCTTTATCAAAAAATACTCAACCATAGCAAAAATCAAAAACTAGAATCATCAGGTTTTTCACTGCTAAATAATAAATCTGCTCTTAAGAAAACAAACCACACAAAAAATGACATCACAAAACTTTTACATCATATCACATAAGATTCCCATTATGTCTGAAAATGATTTACAGCTAGCTAGTAACCCTCTACAAAAACCTAAAGCAGTCCTCAAACAATCTAAGTGCCTTATTCTTAATCGGGGTTAGTTTAAGCAACAGCCACCTACGTATCCTCTACTACAATGACACCTTATCAATGGAAGCCTTGTATAATGAAGGCCATTACATTTAACTCAGTCCTTCTCATCCAAACATCCAATGATTCCACTCTATAGCAGGGCAAGGTGTTCCAGTCAAGCACAGAGCTTACACTTTCCAAACATGACTGACACGGCAGCCTGGAATTAACTAACTTCACATCAGCAAGAGAATCAAGGAAAAGAACATACAAAGACATGTTCTGCCTCTCCACCCCCACACAAAGTGGCCTTGAGTAGACACAAGGGCTTGTAGCTTTCCAGGATTTGGCTCGAAAGTATTTACCTTTCCTAAGGTTTGTTTTCATCAGATGGCCCGAGTGTTTTAAAGGCACTCCCTGCATTTTTGCACCTGTACTCCCAAGCCTTCCTCTTCCTAGCGGGCTCCCGTTCTGCTCCAGGCGGGCGATCTTGGCTGGTGGACCCTTCGGATCGCTCACATTGTTAGACATTTCTGAATGTTCTTTCCCCTGAGTTGCCTCGTTCAAATGATCCATACTCAGTTACCCTCTAAAGATCACCTGCCAGAATTTAAAAAGAAGACATGTTATAATTGGATGGGGGGGGTCTCTCTCCCCCTCACCCTCTCTCTATATATTATATATGATACACCAAGTAAATATTTTATCCCTAGCTATTTCTCTCCACAAATATAATAATACACTTGTAAAACTGCTTAAGTAAATAATATACTGCAGATGTTACTATGTTTTCAGATAACAGTATTACATTTCCATTCAAGTTAACAGAATAATTTGTGGAAACTGTAGCTACACATATTAGAATAAAAAGGTAATTTGTCACCTACCAACAAAACTAAGTTGGGGGAAATGGGCTTACTTTTAGAACAAGAATTACCACAAGTATAGCTAAAAAGAAAACAACATATTTATGTAGTCCCAATTTTTAAAAATCAGAAACTCATTACAGAACACAATAGTAACACTTTAATCAAGAATAGGAAGATGATCACAGTCCAAAATATTAATTAAATCTGATGTACATGTTTACGTTTTTACATAGTTTAATTTTTATGAAGAAATATATATATATCTATATATACCACCTCAAAACAAGGTAGCAAATATCTGCTTTTTAAACTCCTCATTGGCTTTACAGGCTAATCCACAGAAAGTTTTCTACTGCTTAAGTTTTAAGAATTACGTGACCTGTTAAAGATCTAGTCAGGTCCTGGCTCAAATATGTGATTGGATCACATCAACCTTAAGAAAATTGAAAGAAATGGAGGATTTCTTCAAATACCCCAGGTGCTGAAGCATTACAACTTATGTGTTTTAGTGTTAATATTTAGGTGTCTCTTAGTAATAGAATGCTATTAACAATTTAAATAGCAAAAAACTTGAAAATACTTTGTGATATACATACTAGATTGAAGAGCCAAATTTACTTTTAAAAAAAAAAATCTTGATGATTTTGGTAAAACACAGTCATTAGCATTTAAAAATAATCTTGGGATGCAATGAAGTCAACATCCTAATTGACTTCAGAAAAAACATAGCAGATAATTGTTTTCAGTTATATTATACATTGGACATCAATTTTCATACTGTGTATAACAAAGCAATTAATACAATATCAAAGTCACTTCTAAAATGCAGTTTTAATTGAACTAATAAGAACAGGTTTAGCAGAATTATTTTATAAACTTTCATAGTACTTTAAGTATGGAACTCACCAATACTAAGGGAGAGGGGATCATATTTAGGAAAGCCAAAGAAAGTATAATAATTACCACTTTCCTTCAGCTGTCTGGTAATTCAACATATCTTGTACTTAAAAAAAAAAAAATTATTGTACCAAAGAAGCTATTGAGATCTGTGTTTGTTGAAAGCCAGCTTGTATTAGCATGGCCTTTCTGTAAGCATTTTTTCCCTCTTTAACCATTGATTACTTTTTCTATTATAATCAAGAAAAGAGGTGAATGGGGGTGGGGGGAGAATGGTAATCTGTAGGTTTAAAAGCAACCTTAAGAATGCCAAATGAAGAACTATAAAGTTTGAGAAATAATAGCTATTTATCCTTGTACTCTAGGGTGGCACGCTGAGAACTAAAGGTTTACCGTTGATCGAGGTCCCATCTGTTTTTGGTTATGAGGTTCATTAACAATAAATGTGCCTCTTTTAACCACTTTTTATCAAGATTACTCTTTTCCATTATATTAAACTATAGTCTAAAGCCAAAATTAGAGAGCAGTGATTATTAACTTATTCAAAACACTGCTTCTAATGTTTCATGTGGATTATAATACAGAGCTGCTTTTTCTGAAATTGGTTGCCTTACCCTAGAGCAGAAGATGAATTTTAAAACATATGATTTGAAAAGAAAATACTTAACCCGTGGGGCAATTTGAGAAAAAGGGGGGGGGTGGTAGACAACAGCATCAAAGTTAATGCTACAAAACATATTAAGTAGTCATGAGGCTTAACAGCATTATAAACTGTACAGCAAATGAAAGTGATAGATTATAATTTAGTTAATGTATTGACAATCAAAACATCATATAGGTCATGCAAAATTATCCTTCCAACACCCACCTATAAAAGTCTATTAAACACTCAGTCATCTTGTAAAAAGCTTTACATTATAAAGCAAAATTACATGCACATAAAACACCTAATTTACTCATTTAAACTCTATGCCCAAGGCTAAAGTTCACTAAACCTCAGTTTGGTATTGGAAAGAGCAGCCTCCAAAGGGCCTGCTGGACTGAGTACAGGAACTAACTAGGGTCTCAACAGACGCCAAGCCGAAGAGTTTCTTTTGAGTTACACATTTTAAAACGCATTTTAGTGTAACGTCTGGTTGTCACACTGAATGCAGGCTACTTTCTCAAAATCCCATTTCCCTGTCCATAAACCAAGTCCATCTATGATAATTTTTTAGTAAAACAGTGAACTCAGATACAGCTATTATTTCCTCCAAAAAGAAAAAGAAAAACACGAAATTCCGGTTTCGACAAACTATTTTTTGCAATGTGGGATTTTTTCAACGAGTTCCTTGCTGGATCGCCTCATTTACCCCCAAAGAACCCCATAATCACATTTTAAGAGATTGTGCCCTTATCCATTCCATATGGCCGGCACGATCCAGGCCAAGCTTTCACTGTGACCTTTTAAAGAGACAAAGAAGCAAAGTACTATCTAGAAACAGAAACACTGCAGTTTTACTGAGTGAAATTAGCAAAACCGACCTGAAACTCACCACTTCAAAACTTGACAGCATATAAATAACAAAAACAAAGGAGATTTCCTTTGCAGCCCGGGTTCTTGAAGAGAAGTTCAAGACTGATGTTTTCTATGTCCTTTTTTTTTTTTTTTTAATTAAAAAAAAAAAAAAAAAAAAAAAGGCAGCAGACCTGAAGGCGACTTCCCCTGAAATTGTATTATTTTCTCTTCCCCTACCCCCGCCCCCCTAAGCGGGGGAAGGGCAGAAATAAACGTCTAGAAGAGTAGCCATGGGAGAGGGGGTTAAAAAAAAAAAAAATCACAATTCGAAAAACAACATATATGGTTTGTAAAATGTCTAACCTCAGAAAACCGGGTTTTCGATGGGGGAGGAGGGGAGAGTGGGAAGTAGGGAGGAGGGAGAAGATAAAATTGATCTGACAAGTGATTCGTTGGGGGGGGAAATCGTAAAAACAAAGCAAAACCCGTTATGAGCTGTACACTGTGGTGATGCTGGGGAGGCGAGGTGGTGACTGAGGATTCTCTTAAAAAGAAAAAAAAAAATCACTGCGGACAAGGTCTCCAGAAAGGAAAAAAAGGTCCCCTCGCTCCCTCCCTCCCTCCTGCTCGCTCGGGTTCTTCAGTGTGAGGACAGAAAGTCTACTTCTGGCTGTCACTTGCAATATTATTCTCCAATAACCCCGGAGAACGCAGAGAGGGGAAGGCCACCTCGCCTCCCTTCCAATCGCCCCCACCCCCCTCCTCAACAATTGCGACTAATTATTAACAAACCTTAAACTTTCTTCCCACAGCCTCGCAACCCCAACAAGGGCATCTACCGGGGGACAGCGAGGGTGGGGGGCAGAAGGTCGCGGAAAGAGCCCCGGAAAGGCACTGAAATGCCACTTTTGATTCGGCCCTCGCTTATAGCAGCCCCGAGGACCCTCTCCCAGCCCATTGACGCGGGGCTGCGAGCGCCTGGGGAGCCGAGTGAGTAGGGAAAGAGAAGGAGGGTTTGGGGGGAGGGGGAGAGAATCAGAAGGCACCCCCAGCCACCTCCACCGCCTCAGCAGCAACAAACTCCCCGCCCCCTCCCCCCAAAAAGTCGCCAAGCTCTCACTCAGCCAGAGTCCGAGGTAAACAACGAGCACCACAATGGCACTAGGACTTGGGGGGAAAAGAAACCCAGAAACCCCAACAAAACTGATGAGGAGTTTCCCGAAATGCAAGAGGGGGGTGGGAAGCGTCCTCTGGAGTCGCCCCGGCTTTATGCTCGGTCCCCGGGCTGGGCTAGAGGGCGGCTGTTGCTGTTGTTGTGACGAGGCCGGTTGTTGCTGGGTGGCACAGGGAGAGGTGTGTGTGTGTGTTTGTGTGTGCGTGCGTGCGTGTGAGCGCGAGTCCCCGGACGGGGCTGCTTCTCTCTCTCTATCCCTCGCTCGCTCTCGCTCGCTCTCCCCCGCGCTGCCGTCTCTGCCCCCATTAAATTATTAGTTGACTCATCCCGGCCGCTGTCGCCGCCGCCGCCGTGCCCAGCTCGGCTCCGCGCGTCCGCCCGGGCTGCAGCCCTCTACGCCGCTGTTCCTGCTGCTGCTGCTGCTGCTGCTGCTGCCGCCGCCGCCGCCGCTGTGGCTGCCTCTTCTTCCTCCTCCTCATTTTAATACAAAATCACCCCGCTCGCAGCCCCAGCCCCAAGCACGCAGCCTCCTCCCGGCCGCCCGCCGCCGCCCCGAGCCCTTCCCCAGCGGGGCCGGCTCATCCGCCGCGTCCGGGGAGCGGGAGCGAGCGAGAAAGTGGCGGCGGCGGCGGAGGAGGAGGAGGGGGGAGGGAGCGGAGGAGGAAGGCGGCGGGGGGGGGGCAGGGTGCAAGGAGAAGGCGGAATAGGGATGGGGATTAAAACCCGGGCTGGAGGGCCGGGATTGGGGGAGGGGGCGGGGGCGGCGAGTTAAAAAGCAGAAAGACAAGTAACTAGTGAATGAGTGAGGGAAGGGGTGGGGGGGGGAGCGCACGATTTCCGGCCCCGGGCGCGCAAGAATTTGTAATGAGCTTGATTAGAGTGAGGCGGCCCGACATTTATTACACACAATACCGAGAATAACAGGGCGCCGCGCGAGGGCTAGCGCCGGCCGCCGCCAGGCGCGCCGGGGAGGGCGCGCAGGGGAGGGGAGAGGGGGCTTCCCTGGCAGCGGCCGCCTCGGCGGGGAGGGGAGCGCGCGGCGCGCGGGCGGCAGGGGCAGGTGTGCGAGAGTGAGCGGGGCGGGAGGAGGGGCGCGAGTGGCGGGGGGCGGGGGGAGAAAGTGCCACGGAGGAGGGGGAGAGGGCCAGGGGGGAAAACTAACCAACCACCCACGCGCGCAAAAGCCACAGAAAGGAGTATGTCGGGAGCGTCGCGGGCGGGCACCCGAGGGACAGGCCAGGCAGGGAGGGCGCCCTGGCCCCGCGGGAGACGGGCCCGGGCGTGCAGGTGACAGGCACGGAGTACTGAGGTAGGGGGACTTCAGGAAGTGGCTGAAGGGGACAATCGGGAGGTAGATCTCCCGGAGAAGAGTGGAGGGTACAGAAACCATTGCGCAGGAATAAAGGCCGGGGGCCCTGAAAAGCTCTAGCGAATATTTATCCTCAAAGGAGGTTGAATCCCAAACTATTAAGAGCCGACATTAAAAAAAGATAAGAGCTTTCTGTATCTAATCAGTTCAAAACTCTCTCACTTCTGAGCCATAGAACACGTTGGAGGAAGAAATACGTGGCCCATAGTGGCCAAGTCAAACAAAATTTGGGCCATTTGAAAGAGATGTAACTTGTTATCACAAAGGAGAAGACGCCACCATTCCTAAATTAATTTATACCGGGTGAAAGAAAAGTTTGGGGTGGTAAATGCATCTGTCGTAGCAATAAATGCTTCTGTAATCTAGGGTAAGTTACCCAGTTAGATTAATGGTCATTAGCACAGAAGTATGATCCTCTTATTTAGATAATCTATTACATACAGTTCCTCTAAAAGTGAAGAACATTACAATCTCATTCACAACAGAGATGCAGCGTTTACCGACTGGGTTTCAATACTAACATCTTAGAACCCTGAAGGCAGTTAATCATTAAACAAAAACAAAAATATTGTAAGAATTATTTTTCAGAATACACTAGTAGGGAAAAGAGAAAAATCAGTCAGATAAACATTTTGTTACACATAAAAAAGCAACAAGTTAGCACAAGTACAGAGGTAAGAGGGAAATATGCAAATTAAGCTCTTTAAAGCTACCAATACATTCTTAGAGACACTGTTTACATTAGAAATCTAAGAAAAGCAGAAGGTAAAGCGGGAGATAAAGTATAGGAAATAATGGCATCCTGGGGAGAACAAGTTTGGGAGAAACACAATGAAAATATATCACTCTAATGGCACCCAAGTTTCACCCACAAACCGGAAAGGTTAGTCAAAATCGAGGAAGGCAACCGTGAATCTTGGCACATATAAACCCAAGCCTTGAGCAAAAGGAAGAACATGTGATAATAAAACAAAACACAACATCAAAAACAAGAAAATATAAGACAATCTTAACCAAAAAGCCCAAATGATACCACATTTTAAAAAGCTGAAACATGGGGAAATATGGAGTAGGGTTTTTTAATTGAAGTATAAGAAACAGAATCAATAAGGAAAAATACAAACATGGCAAAAATGTAGCAGGGTGTCCAAATTGGTATTGTGGATGGAAGTACTTAAGCTTATTTTAGGAAGATATTTGATATTTAAAAAAAAAAAATAGATATCCAGTTATCATCAATAATCTCTATGGCAATGATTTTTGCAATGATATGTTAAATTAGGAATTTCCAAGATGTATGTATTAAGAGTTGCTTCAAACTGGTGATGCCTGATGTGTTTCCCTGAAACCTGCTTGGTTTTCAGTAGGAACAGTGCATTCTAGTATCACACTGTGCAACTTTACAAATAGTAGCATTAGAAAATACTATTTTTAGAAAATAGAAAAACTATAGTAGACTACAAAACAAAATTTATTTATGCAACTTAAGCTCAAGTAATTTTTTTAAAAAAAGGAAAAAAGGAAATGAAAGTCATTGGATAATACAGAACCTGAGCAGAGAAAAGAAGATTAAAAAGGGCTACTGAATATGTCAATTTAAAACACAATGGAATAAAATATTGTAAATATATGTTTATCCTATCATTTACACAAATAATACAAGACAAATAGATCCTGATTGCCTTAGTCTCCTAATGATTTGGCCAATACTGACGTAACTAATGGGAATTAAAATAATAATTTTAAAATTTGAATAGCACCTTTTATCCAGGTATTACAAGCGAATTCTTAAACACAACCTCAGAGTTTAAGGATGGACATGGCCTTGGAAAATGATAAAATAAATGATAGAGACTTCTAATGATGACTTTATTATAAAGAATACCAATATAGTACAATTATGTACATATTCTCATACACACGCATGCACACACACACACACACACACACACACACACACACACACATACTAATTTTCCTTCAAGTACATTCTTTATTTCAGAACTATTTAAGAAATGACACAAGGAGGTTTATGTCCTCCAAGTGGTACATTACATTGATGAACTTATTTATTATACAGTATCTCCCTCTTTAGCACACTTGTTGTAACAAGTATGCTAAAGAGCATTGGCCAATGTAAACCCAGGTTAAAATAAAGAAGAAAAAGGATTATTAGGAAAATACCACCCTCCTAGGCATATGTGAGGATATGGAGGGGGAAAAACATCAATTTATTCTAATACAGGCCTCTTATATTTGGCAATAAAGATACAAGCAAGTATAGAAAAAAGGTTAAACTTAATAAATCTAGCTATCAAAATAGAAAACCTCAGGAACATGAAATATTACAGGTCAAATACATGAACTATTTAACATGCGGATGTACAGTTAAAACAGAGTGCATCAATTTTTTATCACATGAGAAGGCATTCAAACTGGCTACACAAAGGTAGCAAAGATAAAATATTGTATAAGATACACAAGATTTTTTAATTTAATAAGGAAAGGACAACTGCATAT